AGGTAAACTTTCCTGAAAATGGCTTTCTGTCTCCTGACAAACTCTCTTTGCTGGAAAAACTCCTACCTGAGAGGAAGGAAGTGGAAGAGACTGATGAAATGGATCAGGTAGAACTGGTGGACTTTGATCCAAATCAGGAAAGACGGCGCCATTATAATGGAGAAGCATATGAGGATGATGAACATCATCCCAGAGGTGGTGTTCAGTGTCAAACCTCTTAATGGGGCCAGTGAATAATACTCACTGCAGGCATTTTATATGCAGTAGTGAATGAGTGAAGGACTATAATCATAATATGCTCACTACTTGCTATTGTTTTTGTTTTAATATTCAATTATAGTAGTGTTTTAAAAGTTAAATGAAGAATAAACGCAAATATAAAAGCTCTGACTTTGCCCTGTATGTATGATGACTTCAGTGTGCAAGAAGTTGTTTAATACCTGTAAAGACTACTTTTAAAAAAGTTCCCCTAGCATCTGTTAGGCCATACCTTGTAATTGATTTCAGCTGTGTATGTGGACAAACTTAGACTGAAAAGTATACTAGGTATATGTGTTGATTTCAGTGTATGACCCTTCATTGTTAAGCTATAAAATTAAAACTCTGTATTTAACTTGCAATCAGAAAAAGAAAACTTAATTTGTAGAGGAGTGTTGGTCTGTCTAGTTATTTGTATTAAGTGGGACTCTTGTGATGACTGCATTCTATTGCCTCAACTTACTTGAAGGTGACATAATGTATAATTTTGCTTCTGGTATCAGTGAAAGAAATGATACCTTTCAAAAGATGGGGTTTATCATTATATGCTGCTTCTTAAGGGCTTGCACTTGTAGAATTGCATTCCCTTCTATTGTGCCATCTTTTAAAAATATATATATATATACATACACATATATACAAAACTGTGTTGACCAGTCCTGGTTACATTTTTCCCTTCTCTTTGGACCATGGTAAGCCCTGGTAGTGAAATCCAGAGCTGGATAACAGAAATTAAAACGAAGAGACCTATACATGGAAAAGTAGTTTGCATGTATAATATAGGAAGGTGTTCCTTAGGTATGTTACAGACTTAAACCATTTGACTTATGCTCCAAAGTAACTGTAATTTGATGTTGGTAGTCTAGCAAATATGATGAATAGCTTTAACCGTGTGTTTAAAAGTCATCATATGTTCACATGCTTAAATCTGGATATCAGAATTTAAGCAATTCTTGAAATGTATGAATGTCTCCTTAATATACTGATTACAAAGCATTTCCAGTGTGTCACTGCAGGCTTTTTTTTTCCCCCTCAGATCATGAAAGCATTAGATTTTAATTAAGATACATAGCTTCATTTTACTTAAAATTAACAACAAAATTAATATTAAGATAATTAAATGCTTAATATTAAACATGGGTGGGGAGTGAAAGTAGAGGGTTGACTTGGTATGAATCAAGAGGAAAGGGGCATTAAAAACTTGTCAACCACTGGGGTTGAGGGTAATAATAACTTCCTGCCTTAAACATTTCCAACCTGGAAGTAGCCTGAAAGTTTCCCTCATGCACTAAAGAGGAGAAACTAAACTTGGGGTAGAAAATAATATCCAAATCTTCAATGTTGGTTTGACACTGGTTCTCAATCTTGGCTATCACTGTCGGGAGGACTTCCCAACATGATGCATACTTTACTTCATAGCAGCTTCTCAGTGGGAAAGGAAGCTCTAAAAGCACAGAAACGAGAATGCACAATACAAAAAAATGCCATTCTTGCACCTTTTATCTTTCAAAATGTGTCATCTCATCCACCTTTGGAGATCGATAGCAGGAATTTAAACACCTTTTTTTTTTTTTAATGGGAAAACCACCCTCTCTAGTCTACTGGCTTCTCAAATTTGAACATGTTTGCCAGGCCTCACTACCAATTTGATGCTGTAAGTCTGGGGTACGACCTAAGAATTTGTCTTTGAAACAAGTTGCCAGGTAACATTAAGACCAGTGTTATAGTATGAGTAAAAGCTAGTGACTACAAAGACAGGTCCAGATTCTTGCAATTCATTTATTTCCACTTACCTCACTACCTGTGGTTTGCTTGGGTAAATATTTAACAGAATGTGGAGAAACAATCCATGGTTTCTTTGCCTTAGCCTAAACTCTTGAAAATTTGAGAAAAACAGCAGAAGTAAGAAATGGAGCTCTGGAATTATCTGGTTTTCAATGTGAGCTCCATGCAAGTTGTGTCATTAAAGTATATCATGTCTGGAAATCATTTTTTTATGTATTTGTGGGGTCTTTTATCTTTTTTTAAATTTATTTAAGTAGGTATATATTACAGCAGAATACATTTCGATTCACTTTACAAACGGCAGCACAACTTTCTCTGGTTGTACACAATGTAGCTTTGCACCATATGTCCAGTCATACATATACCTAGGGTAATAATGTCTATCTCATTCTACCTTCTTTACTGTCCCCAGTGTTTTATTATTTTTTTATGTGGTGCTAAGGATTGAACCCCGTATCTCATACATGTGAGACAAGCATTCTACCACTGAGCTACATGCCCAGCCCCTTATTTGTGGGGTCTTAATAGAATCTCCCTACTGAAGTGGTTCTGAGACTTGAATAAGGCTGATTACATAGTAACAAAGAGCTTAATAAAGGCTATATTAGTGGAAGTAGTAAAGAGGATATATACCTAAAATTTCATGTCATTTAAAAACATGTTGCTTTGGAATACCTTAGGGTGGTATCTCAGATATTAAGTGGAGCATAGGACATAGGTCCTTAATCTAATGAATTTAATGCCACATATTTTTGAGTTTATGTACTAAACTCCCAGGAACCTAAACCCATATACTTAATTTCAGAATAAGTGCACATAGATCCTTGGCACCCAACTCCCTTTAGCCTCTGCCATCATACTGGTAACATGATCCCTGGCTGGAGGTTGCCCTTCAGAACAAATCCAGGGCCTCCTGCATGCTAGATGAGCATTTTACCTCCAAGCCCAACCTTAGTCCAAGGCTGTAGTTTTTAGAAAGTAAAGGAGTAGCACCACCTGATCTTCAGCCCCTAACCCCATGTAGCTGGAGTGGGCTCTCCTGCCAAWGTGGCCCAGACTCAGGTGCTGATCCCTCTTTCTCTGGAACTAGGGACACGCAAAAGAGGAAGTGTTGGAAAGTACTAAAGTTAGTCACAAGACAATAAGTGCACTACCATTTTTTAACCCTGAGTTTTGTGTGGAATAAAAGGCAAAAATATTTTCAATTTTGTTTGCTCAACATGCATTATGTTAATTTAAAAATGTAATGGCTTCTAATCCAGGCTTTGGCCTGGTCTCCCAAGACTACCAATTTGTCTAGCACTTACTTTGCTGCCTTGCCAGTTTGCCATTCCTGGAAAGGTTCTCTCTCTTTAGATGCCAAACAACTTTACTTTCAACTCTTCCTCCTGGTTGTTCTTTTATGGTCACCTCCAGAAATGTTTTCCTAACCCATCAGCATATCACTCTTTTTGTCTAGCTCTTCTTTACCATAAGGCAGAAACTAGCCTTTTTTGCACCATCCCCAGCACTTGATGCTAGGAATAGAAGTGCTCCACAAAACTCCTGGAAGAAATGAATATGTGCTGACTAGATTCTTGATTGTAAACTAGCACAAACTAAGCAATATCCAGTAGCCAGCTTGTGGAGTCAAGGACTAAATCAAAAACCTAACTTTTCAAAGGAAAGTTTTTGTAAAGAATTTTGAGCATAAGTTGTTTTCATGTCCCAATTTAAACTTTTTTAAGTAAAAGGCTTAACTGGAATGACATGAGAATTCTTAAACTAATGGCTACATTCAACTCCCACCAGCATTTTTTTTCCCCAGTACTGGGGGACTGAACCAGGGAGGAGTTACGTTCCTAACCCCTTCCCCACCTCTTTTCTTTTTGAGACAGTCTGGCTAATTTGCCCAGGCTAACCCCAAACTTACTTATGATCCCACTTCAGTTTCCAGACTCACTGGAATTGTCTCCCTATACCTGGTTTTCAACTAGCATTTTTAAATGTCAAAATAATATCAAATGACATCTTGGACAAAAGCTGCAGGGTTTTTTGGCAAAAGGGAAATAGTTACAGAATGTGAGAGATTTCTTAATGCTGTGCCGAATTCAGCCAATATTGAGCATTACATGCCAGGCACAGATCAAGCTGCATTTCAAGTAACAATTAAAGGTAAACTAAAGGGCTGAGGATGTAGCTCAGTGGTAGAGCATTTATCTAGCATTTGCCCCGGGTTCAGTCCCAGTAGTATTTAAATAAGAAGTCAAGTGCAGTGGCACATACTTAAATCCCAGCTACTGGGGAGGCTGATCAGGGCAAGAGGATCACAAGTTCAAGTCCAGGGGCTGGTAATGTAACTCAGGAAGGGTACTCCTGGATTCAATCCCCAGTACTGAAGACAGCTAAGTGAAGTGGCATAAGTCTGTTATCTCAGCAGCTTGAGAGGCTTGAGACAGATTGTAGGTTCAAAGCCAGCCTAAGCAATGGTGAGGCAATTCAGACCCTGTCTCTAAATAAAATACAAAATAGGGCTGGGGATGTGGCTCAGTGGTTTGAATGCCAGGAAAAAAAAAAAAAATTTAAAAGGCTGGAAATGGTAAACCTGGGTTCAGTCTCTAGTACCAAAAAAAAGAAAAAAATGCTAACATTAAAAGGGAGCATAGAAGGCCTACAGAAACAAGATTTCACATTCTTGAAAGTGCCTAGCACAGATATATGGCACTTGTGATGTATGAAGTTTCCTATATTTGTTGAAACAAAAAAGGTATCCATATGTAAAATTGTTTTTTCAAGAGTAAATGCATTACTTTAGCTAACTGGTAAAGATGCACATTGCAAGAGATTTCTGTAAGTCTTAGATCTTAGGTTTTCTTAAAAACAACAGCACATTTTCAATGCTAGACCTTCCTCCACAAAAAAGAGATGACAAGACTTTGAATTCTCATAACTGATCCTGCAGCTAGCTCCATCCAGAAGATGGAGACAATATTCCCTAGAGTTGGTCTGAATGTTTAAGAAGGCCAGCCAAGAAGGGGCAGATGAAAACATAACTAAACTGAGACCTTATGCCATCAACTGACCTTTCTCACTCAGACCAGTCTATCCTCCTATCCCAAGAACATGCCGGACTTGAGATTCAATAATTATTTTTTCCCACCCTGACACCCACCCCCACCTTTTGATCCTAAGTAAATATGTTAAGTACATGAGCACTTATTTACAAGATCTCCAGAAAGGTGTAAAGTTTATTAACATCTTTAAAAAAAAAAAAAGCTATTGAATATGGGGATACTTATTTACAAGTTTTAAGATGGGAGGGGCACATTTTAATCAGCATTTCAAATAATCAAAGGAGTACATTTTTTTTCCTAGAAATATCATTTTCACTCTCCAGAAAGAAGATAAATGAAAACATTAAGTGAATGCCCCAGTTAGAAGCAGATAAACTAATACCTTAAAAATATTTTTTAGAAAGGGTAACTGCTACTTCGGCAAGAATTTTCACAAAATTATTTCCATGGCTAACTCAGACAATTTCTTTGCTTAGAAAAGCTGGCCTAAAGAAGCAAAAGAGCAACACATGAATACATCCTCACTTAAACATGCTTTCAAGCTAGTTTCTGAAAAGCTGAATTAGGGTTTCCAGAGCTTTAGGAGTCCATCTTCACTATAGGTAGCAATCAGGTTCTGATGAGGGTGATGTGCAATACCAATCACATCCTTCTCGTGAACCTGGAACAAGTTAAAGCAGATTAGGGTATGCAGATCTCTTAACAAATCACTCTTTACAGGCTTCTAGAGCTGGAGTGGGTGGGATGGAAGAGTGATCCTGAGAAACCACATATTGCAAATGGCATAGCTGGAAGACAGAGAAGAGCTATCCAACTCACATTACATTGTGTTATAATAAACTTTTATTATGTTAAGCCCCTGAGATTTGAAGACTGTTACAGTAACTGGCATTACTTTTTGTACTGACTTTAATATCATGAGAGTTAGAAATTTCAAAAACTTCCTAATCAATTTAATTAATATAATACACAAATAATGTGCCTTCAAAAGGGTTCCACAAGAAAAAACTATTTGGCTAGACAAGTGTATACCTCTTCTTCTCTTTGTATGCTCTCATTCTCTCCACCTGAAGTTTGGGGGGCGAGGCAGGGTTGTCACTAAAGGAATGACTTGACTTGATAAAAGGGGCAATGCCACACATTTATAGTTGTTTAATTTTACTTAGTGTAAAAATGCCCCCATTACATTTTTTATACTGAGGTTCACAATGATAGCAGAGTATGGAAATGGTGTGTACGTCTAAGTTTAGAAAGACAAGGTTATCATAATTTCTTCTGATTGAGTAATACTCACTGTCAAGGTTCTCTCCAGTTTGCCAGTCACTGTGCTAAAACAGTACAGCACAAAGTCCTCCCCCACACAGTAGATCCATTCACCACGGGGAGAGAGGGCACAGCAAACAAAGTCACCACCTTCTCTTTTACCAGAGCTGAAGCTTCTGACAATCTAGAGCACACACATATCCCAAAAAGACAACAATGAAAAGAAAAACATTAAATCAGCAGCAGCTCACCCATGGATAGCATTCTAAACATTTTTTAAATGACATTCTGAAATAACTTACAGTTCTGGGGATTGTGTCCAGGGACACTCTAGCTATATCAGTGAGCTATATCTTCAGTCTTTTACTTGTTTGAGACAACAAGTCCTACCAAATTGCAGAGGCTGCCCTCAAACTTTTAATCCTCCTGCCTTAGCCTCCTGAGTAGTTGGGATTATAGACGTGTGCCATCACAATGGCACTAAATATGACAAAACTAAACTAACATTTTTACATTATTAGTTTGCCCCTTGGTATACCATCATTTATAATTAGAGCTCCAATTCTATTCATCATGTGCTAAATCTTCTTACCTGGGAAATATTCATTGGATAAGCTACCTATAAAGTAAGTGACAAACATGAACTTCAAATTTATACAGTCATGTCACAGATCCCCCTACTGACCACATTACCCTGAAGCAAATTCATTACCACAGAACAATTTTAAAAATCAGTATAACACTAGTTCTCAATGCTTTAGACTTATGTTCTCCAAAATCCTCTAACAAAATGTGTTGCTTTCCGCATGCAGGATGGAACTGTCTCCAACACTTTGCTTAGTCTATGTTCTGCAACATTAAAATCATAAATCAATTTCAAAAGAGAAACCAATCTCAAAAACCTAAGTATATACTGTGATTTTATTTATGTACCATATGCAAAATACATTGTAATAAAAACAGGTTAGTGGTTGCCAGGGCGTTAGTTAGGGTTGAACTTATACAATACCATTTATATTAGCACCAAAAACAAAAATAGGAAATACTTAGATATAAAACAAAATGCAGTGAGCTGGAGTCGTGGCTCAGTGGTAGAGTGCTTGCCTGGCATGTGTGAGGCCCTGGGTTCAACCCTTAGCACTGCATATAAATAAATAAAAGATCCACTGACAACTAAAAAATACTAAAAAAAAAAAAAAAAATACACATGATTATATGAGGATAACTATAAGACTGATGAAAGATATCAAAGAACTAAACATAAATATTCCATGAATAGGAATATAATATGGTCAAGATATCTTTCCAACTTAATATATAAATTCAATACAATCCCAATCAAAATCCCAGCAAATTATTGTAGATAATGAGAAACCGATTTTAAAGTTTAAATGGAATAGTCAAAAGATCCAGAATAGCCCAATTCAGTATTGAAGGAGGAGAACAAAGTTGACTGGCACTACCCAACCTCAAGACTTATTATAAAGCTTCAGTTATCAAAACAGTATGGCACTGACAACAGAATAGAAAAATAGATCAATGGAACAGATCAAAGTCCAGAAGTAGGGTCACATAAATACAGTTTAATGATTTTTCAGAAAGGCACAAAAGCTCCTTTATGAAAAAGGAGAAAAGATCTTTTTTTGGTACTAGGGACTGAATCCATGGATGCTTTTAYCACTGAGCTACATCCCTTTTAATTTTAAGTTGCTGAGGGTCTTGCTAAATTGCTAAAGCTGATCTTAAACTTATGATCCTCCTGCCTCAGCTTCCCACATCACTGAGACTATATAGGCATGTGTCACCATGCATGATAGCCTTTTCAACAAGTGGTACCGGAACAACTAAATACACGCAAAACCATGAATCTAGACACAGATATTGCACTCTCCACAAAAAGTAACTGAAAAAGTAACCTTGATGTATCTAATGCCCATAATGCTACCTCATAGTCCACAAAAAGTGAGATTCCTTTAGAACCTCATAGGTGTCCTGGTTGGAAATAAAAAATAGGAGAACACTGTTGTCTTTCTCTTGGTATTGGTGTTCCACTTTAGCTCATGTGGTAGCTAGGAAATGTCCTGAGTTGGTAATCCACACCACACTGCATCTCCCTAATGGAGACAAAGATTGTTATCTTAGTCTTCCTTGACATTCTAAATGAGGCTTAAAGAAAGATCAAAGATTCATTTATCCAAAGGAAGAAAAAGAAACAGCATAATATGCAAATACCCTGAGGGAAGGAAATAATTTTTGAAACACCAGAGAAATTCTGTAGAGCCATAGTTTAAGTGTCTGAAAAATAAATACCCCTTATATGGTTTATCAAGTGGTGAGCCCTTATTTGGTTATGGGGAGGGCCAGAACTGAGTTCTGTGCACAGGTACTTTCGGAGTACTCACCTGCCCTTGCATGTTCATGATGACCACTGTGTTTGATCTGTTGCATACCACAAAATGCTCTGGATTTTTAGGAAGCAGGATCACACTGTTGACAGTAATGTCTGTCCCTGCAGTGCTTCCCAAGGATTTAAAGGTATTTGAACATTCTGTAGTCTTCATATTCCAGATCTACCACACAAAAATTTAAATTAAAGCATAAACATTTTTTTAGTATAAGAATTTCTAAAGTTTTATGGCTTACAAAATCAAGAATTATGTTCTAAAAGTGAGTAAAATTCACTAAGAAAATGTTTCTTATGATTTTTATCCAAATATCCAGCAATACCACATATACAGTAAGCACTCATCTTTGTTAATCAACTGGCATAAACAAAATGAGAGTTACAAATTAAGTTATAAAAAACCCCGACTAATGATCTTTCCTTACAAATTTTTCTTAGCTAACAGAGCCACGTATTTTTGAATTTATGCTATGTATCAACACTGCTATGTCATAAACAACCAGAAGCTACCTTCGGATATCAAAACCCAAAGGGGATGGACTGGGATTGTGGCTCAGCGGTAGAGCGCTTACCTAGCACATGTGAGGCACAAGATTGGATCCTTAGCACCACATAAAACTAACTAAATAAATAAAGCGTATTGTGTCCGACTACAATTTTTTTAAAAATTATATATATGTATATTATATATAAATAAATAAAACAAAGGGGATCATGAGCTTGGGATCCTATCCCAAAACTCACAGTAGGTCTGGGATGCTATGTATCAACACTGAGGGAAGGAAATAATTTTCAAGTTTCAAAAAATGATTCTAACACATAGCTTGTATTGAGAATGACCAAACAAAAGTCACAATGTTAGAAAACACACAGATCCATGGAGAGGGAGCCACTCAGCCAACAAGGTTTTACCTTGTCCTTTCAGGCTCTTAAGAACTGAAGGAGTTAAATCGGACAACCCAGAAATCTGCAATGTGCTTACAGGAGTGCCAAGAATGCATGGCACTGTCCCAATATCATTCACTTAATGAGGTATAAAAGCCTCTAAAGCACATTTTGTGTCATGCTTCCTCTGTGACTAACACAGAGTGTGGCACAACACAGCTGTTTAATAATATCCAAAACAGAAGGACATAGTCCCCCTAGTTGCTCCCCCTAGACTTGCCCCAGTCTTCTCTCTGAAGCCCAGATGCCTAAAGCAAAAATGAACAATTAAGGGAGCAAGAGTTCTGAGGCTTTTCTGTTCAAAAAGTCAATGAAATGCTTTACCCCAATCACTACTGAACTAAGAGGAAAGACCACAAAACAAAGAGGCCTAGAAAAGCCACCTAACAATGGCATTTACAAATTGTGAAGCCCATAAGCAGAGCACAAAGGGGGCAAATCCCATAACTAAAGCACTGAGAGTTGTATGTTTCCCCATCCATCCCAAGGGAGAGTAGACCTATCTTCAAGTCTCTTGTTCAATTCTCAAATAAGAACAAACTATTTCAGAAGGTAGTCCGACATATAAGTGCTTTTGTTAAAATGTCTAGATCTTCTACCAACAAAGCACTCACTTATATAAGGCAATTTAAGAGCAGTAAGTCCAGAATATAAAGGAGTATCTCAAATCTCTAGACAATTTTCTACTTCAGTTTTTCATCTTTTCCTGTAAAAAAGGCCATCTCTTTAAATCTTTTAAGATACTAGAGCTCGATTACTTTCAGCTGAGAGCTAACAGCAGTGGATAAGTATGTAAGAGGGAGTTTAGCTCTACTCTATACCTCCCCTAGTCCTCTAAAAATGCTGTAAGGGAGATACTAAATGGTGGCCTGGTGTAGGATAAAGCTGTGTAACAAAAAGCAATCTATACATTTGGCTACTGAGTCTTGTGCATTTGAATGGTAGGGATGGGCCATATTACAGCATGACAGATTCAACAGCTGTACCTGTGAATGCAAAACCACGCAAGTCCACATATTTCCTCTTTCTCTACATATGATAAAATCTGTTTGGACTATAGATAAGAGATTTAGGCTCCTCATGCCAATAAGGATTACCCACAGAACATTACTCCTGGCTCAGACTCAACTGTGGTTCTGACTAAAACAGCTAGTAAAGAGATTTACTCTACCATCATCAACATTATCACCACTGCAATCTTCTCAAAGGACAAAGATTTTTAAAAATAAACAAATTATAACATCACAAAATGAACCAGTAGCAAATACTTAACCTTTACAGTGCCATCAGAGGATGCACTAATAATATAATGTCCATCTTGTGTAAATGTTGCTTCATTAACAAAGGAGGAATGGCCACGAAATTCCT